TATCGTCACCATCTTCCGCATGCCCTACTCTTACAATCTGCATAATGAGTAGCAGCAGCGTCCTTTATCCAGCACGGGCTCTTCGCCAGTTCCGATGGCTGACCCTGCCTAGGCCCCGACGATGCTCTGCCCTTCCTGCTCTCGGATGCTGAATTCGATGTTGGCTGGGTAACGCCCGTGGTAATCGCTACTCCAATAACCATACTTCCCTCTCCACAAGGCATCCAAACTTTTGGCGTTTGAGCTGGCATGAGATTGGCTACTACGACATCGACTACACTCTTTTCACTGAGAACGGCAAGAGGCAGAAGACATCCACTATGTGGGCCACTCGCAGTGCACAACTGTCATTTTCGCTTTGCTGTCCTCTCGGCCGGAATACAATGCGAAAATCAAAACAGCTCATATGCTGTCCCCGGTGGCGTTTATGGATCACATGGATGATTTTATGGTGAACACACTGTCGCCCTATCTGGGCGTCGACAATGCCTACTCGAGGCTCTTTTTGCTCGCAGGAGTTTCTGCCCCACAATGACTTTGTCTTGGCGTTGTTGTACAACGTTTGCCGTCCTGATTCCGTGGTCTCTGGTTTCTGCAGCAGCAGCAACAGCAGCAATGATAACACAGCCAGAGAAGGACGTACCAATACGGTGTGTCTAACAATTACGACTTTTATGAAGCTTAAGTGTCTAATTCACTTCTCACCTTTACAGACTGCTTCATCCTTGCTGACTGGCGTCTTTCCTGCTGGTATCTCCACCGATCAGATTCTGCACTACATGCAGGAACATCAATCCGGACACTTTCATGAGTTCGACTACGGCAATAAGAGGAATCTGAAATTCTACTGCACGTATACACCAGCTGATTATCCCACCGATCAGATTACTGCAGAAATGCACATGTGGTACTCGGACAACGATGAGATGGCCGCTGTGGATGATATCCTACGTCTGAGTGTGACACTGCCCAATGCAGTGATGCACCACATGGAAGATCCGCTAAGTGACCATAGGGACTTTGCCATGAACTGGGAGATCCTGAATGAGCACTAGGAGGCAAACACACAGTAATTATATTTTTAAAATTTTAGTTAGTTGTTAGCTATATTTATGAATGTAAATCATAATTAACAGAAGCTTAATCGTATCTGATACACCTCTTAGACACCCACAATTATATCCAATTCTAACGTCGCAGTTCTATACACTTCATTGCATATACTCGTAAATTTGTTTGGATCATATCCGACTTTTCTAATAATATTAATTTTTCCACTAGCCATAAAGATTTTGGTTTCAGCTTTGGATCCACTATGAAATTAAAAAATTTTTTTGTTTTGTTTTTTCTCTCTCTTTATATTTACAATCTGTTTGTTTAAACAATAAGTAAATTGTCTAATTAATATTCAATTAACAGAAATAGCAGTTTTCCAATGAGCCCTGCTATTATATATAACATATTTTCAGTTTGTTGGATTTATCTATCAGGGATAACAAGAATGTGGTATCTTTTCAGTCTTCTTACTGTTAGGCTATTGTCTAATAGACTTAAGGCTAAATTATTTACGTGGTTGTGGAGTCTGTCGATGTATTTCTTACTAGTTTTCTTTATTTTTTCTTTAATGGTTGGAATATTCAGATCTTTGTGGATGTTTGCATTAGATACGTAAAACGGAGCATTGACAATTTGTCGCAAAGTTTTTGATTGGTAACGCTGAAGTATCTCAATATTTGAGTTGCTAGCAGTTCCCCAAAGCTGTAAAGCGTAGGTCCAAACAGGCTTCAGTATGGATTTGTAGAAGCGAATTTTGTTTTCCAAAGTGGTTTCTGAATTTCGACTTATCAACCAGGACATTTTTAGTGTTTTAAGTCTAAGTTGTTGACATTTTGCTTTAATGTGGTTTTTCCATGTTAATCTGCGGTCGAGATGCAAGCCGAGATACTTCACACAGGTACTTTGTGGAATTGGTGAGCCGTTAAGTGTAACATTTGGGCAGTTACCTGGTCTTAATGAAAACGTTATTTGGACGGATTTCAGAGAGTTTATTCTAATTTTCCATCGAAGGAACCAGTCTTCAATTAGGCTTAGCTCACTCTGCAGGAGTTCAGAAGCTTCATTTATAGATGTGCTTGTGGCTAAAAGTGCAGTTGTTTGTAACTGGCATGTCGGCCGTATATAGGGTGTAGAGAATTGGTCCCAATACGCTTCCTTGTGGGACGCCTGCGTTGATGAGAAGTAGTGATAAATTATCGGTTTTCTGCTGCACGTCAAAGCTTCTTCTAGCCAGATATGTATTGATTAATAAATAGTACGGAGCAGGTAGCCATTTCTTTATCTTGTACAACAAACCTTTGTGCCAGACTCGATCGAACGCTTGTTGAACATCAAGAAATGCAGCAGTGCAGTATTTGTAGTCTATTTCTAGTCTGAGAATCGCGTTATATATAAGAGTGAGAAACCGAATGCATTTTGGTGGTAAACTTTTTAGGGTGATACCGTCTATTTTATCAGGGCCTGGTACTTTTTTATTGTTCAAGCATTTGATTTCTGTCACAACTTCATATTTAATGCTTTTAATAGGCAAGCTCATTTGGCAGGGTGACTCAAGGAATTTTTCTACTTCAGTCTCTGTTATATAATTATTTATATCGTTTGGCTGAAACACAGAGTGCAGATGTTGTGCAAATGCTTGTTCATTATTAGACCTACACCAAGTTCCATTACTTTTGTGAATATTTATGTTTCTTTTAGCTGGTTTCTTTAGGTATTTAGTGATTAGGGTCTAAGTTTCTCAGATCCTCAGCTAGAGATTCATTGCGTAAGTTCGACAGCAGTTGTCTAAGCTCAGATCCAGCCTTGTTGTATAATCTTTTGTCAGGAGGGTAGTAAGTTTCATGCCAGCGTTTTCGCAGATTCCTTTTATTTTGCATTTTTTGTCGAAGTTCGGTTGAAAGGTTCAATTGGTTTGGTTGTTGATGATTAAGAGCATGATTCGTGTTTCTGTGGCTCGCATTATGAATTGTATTTGTAAAAAGCTCCACAGCATAGTCTATCTCCTCTCCTGTTTTTAACGGAATGTCCAGGCTTATAGCTGAATCTAAATGGCTTTTAAATGCGTTAATGTCTGTAGAGGCTGTTATTACTTTATAGGGCTTTTCCAACATATGGGCTATTGTGCTGTAAGTTGCTATTATTGGAGAATGATCTGAGTTAAGGTCAAAGCTCTCCATCACTCGCATGTGTGATTGTGGGATTCCAGAGAATACTATGAAATCAATCAAATCTGGAATTTTTCGACTATCAGTTGGCCAGTATGTGGGCACACCAGTTGACAAAGTCGTTATGTTATTGTTTCGTATTCATTTGTATAACTCCGATCCCTTCGGGTTAGTTTAGTTTAGTTATTATATTATCTTTGGTGTTTCTCTGGTGGTTGCGTCCGCTTACTATTTTTTTTTATATAAGATCCTGATAGACTTTACACCCTTTGTAACTAGCAGCATGATCTTCGTTGCAGTTGGCACATTTTGCTGGTTGCTCTTTATCTTTTGGGCAAGCGTTGCTGGGATGGTTAATAATATGACTCTGTGTGTCCAAATTCCTGGCAACGATAACACTGAACGATTTCTTTGGTTTTACGGGGTGGTTCTATATTAACAACTGCGTTACCAATGAGTTTAACTTTGTATATATCTAAGTTCTTATTGTTGGGCTCAATGTCTAAGTAGAACATATTCAATGGCTCTTTGGTTACACGAGTTTTAATATTACTAATGTTTCTAACAGCGTGACCTTTGGACTACACATCTTGTTTGATTAAGTCGATATCCGTTGAGAAGTGCAAATTCTTAATAACAACTCTGAATGCCCTCTCATGTTTAAGTTGGTATGTCTGAAATTTGACAGAATCTTTAGTAAGAGTTTTAACAAGTTTCCTGTATTCTTCAATATACTTTACAATAACTCTCACATGACCATCGCGTTGTACTTTATAAAAGAAAAGCTCTTTTTTAATTGTAGTCTCGAGGTAAACTAGCATTCCTTTTATATCACTGACTTCAGATAAGAATATAGGTGGCGGCTTGGCAGATTCAGTTAAGTTATCTTCAGTTATCATGTCCAGTGCTTCGTTTTCATCTTCATTTGCGTTATTTGGCGTGCTGTCGCTTAGGAGGGCATATTGATTGGAGCTGGTGCTGGGTGCTAAGTGCAGAGCGATTTTTTTCTTTAGTAGAATAGGAGAGGCTTGGTTTTGTCTTTTGACTGCCTTTGACTTCAATTTTACTCTCTACCAGTTCCAAACCGTTGTGTCGTCTTCGTCGTCGTTCATGATAACAACAACACTTTGTTATTGCTTATCAGTAACACTATTTTGTATGCTTTTTTTTTGTAAATAGAATAGTACTTTTGCTTTATATTTACGAACTGAAAGTTTTTGCTAAGGCAACTTCGGCTCAAAAATTTACTTTTATTTCCGAAATTTTATTTTCATTTTCTCTCCTAGATGTTGCTCCTACGAGCAGCTCCGTTCTAAAAATTGCTCAATAATCTATAAAAACCAACACAATACATTTTCAAGGGGGGTATTTCTATGGATTATCGTACGGCTCTTCAAGTGGCTTTAATTGCTGATAAGTTTTGACGCAAGTAATTCTTGGAAAAACATACAACATTTTCAGAATCATCAATTAGAGTTAGGATTTACAACCCCAATAGTATGTAAAAGGTTTTACCCACTCGTAATAATCAACTGGGATTTTAAAGGTCCTTAGAGCTGGTGAAATTCTAAGTTTGATTAGTTTTATTTCGATTTCAAATTTATTTATTTTCTTTTTTTAATCCGAATTTTATAGCTTACTTTATGGATTCATAATCTCTTAAGAGTCTCAAAATATTTAATCAAACTCTTGATAGCAAGAAAAAATACTTGAGATCGAGACCCTGGAAGTGGTACACAAGCGGAAAGCCAAGCGTTGGCCATCATTCAGTGTCCATCGAACAAGCGCCCAACCATGAAGAAAATTATCTTTAGGCACTTGCTGATCCTTATTGGCTTGGCCATGGGTAGCTATGCCCCTTCCATAGATGGACCGACAGGGGTAATCGATTTCTACCAGTTATATGATAACCCAGAGGCACACATTAGAGTCAGGGATCGATTGACGACGGTAAGTGGATCGTGGATTTTGAAGTTCACCAAATAATGACTCAACCTTAGGCCGATCGCATTGCCGCTCACGGATATCCATCCGAGCATCATCATGTACTCACCGAAGATGGCTACATCTTGGGCATCTTTCGCATTCCCTACTCCCACAAGCTGCAGAACCAGAACGAACAGCGTCCTATTGTCCTGATTCAACATGGCCTAACGAGTTGCTCAGATGCCTGGATCCTGTGTGGACCCAATGACAGCCTGCCCTATCTGATGGCCGATGCTGGTTACGATGTGTGGATGGGCAATGGCCGTGGAAACACCTACTCCAGGAACCATACTTACCTCTCCACCAAGCATCCCAACTTCTGGCAGTTCACTTGGCACGAGATTGGTCTCTACGACATTGCGGCCATGATCGATTATGCCCTGGCCAGCGAGAATGGCAAGGGACAGGAGGCCATCCACTATGTGGGTCACTCCCAAGGCACGACAGTGTTCTTTGCGTTGATGTCCGCCCGGCCAGACTACAATAAGAAAATCAAGACAGCTCACATGTTTGCCCCAGTCGCGATCATGAAGAACATGGCCAACAAATTGGTGCTGTCTTTGGGTCCCTATTTAGGCCATCAGACGATACATGCCAAGCTCTTTGGCTCCCAGGAGTTCCTGCCTCACAACGACTTTCTTTTGACGCTGCTTTTTAATTTGTGTGAGCCGAATTTTCTGCTGCGTCCACTGTGCGAAAATACTGTACAGTCTCTGTACACGGGTGGTCGTGTTAATATGGTAAGTAAAAGGAAAGAAAGGTGGTTACTCTGATGTTAATCCTTGACAACTCTATCCCCAGACTGCCATGCCAGAAGGTCTGGCAACACATCCGTCGGGCTGTTCGACCGATCAAATGCTGCACTACATCCAGGAGCAGCAATCTGGCTATTTCCGTCAGTTCGATTATGGCACAAAGAAAAATTTGCATATCTATGGCTCGGAGCAACCACCCGAGTACCCCGTGGAGCTGATTTCCTCAGATGTGCACCTGTGGTATTCCGATAACGATGGTATGGCTGCTGTGGAAGATGTCGAGGCACTAGCCGAACGCCTGCCCAAGAAGGTTATGCACCGCATGGCGGATCCATTGTGGGATCACGGAGACTTTGCCCTAAACCACGGACTACGTGAATATCTCAACGAGCCCGTGATTGCCATCATGCAGCAATACGAGAAGGAGCAGACTGCAGAATGATTGAGTTATTTCTTTAAGATTTGACTTAAAGTTATTTGATAACCTCTCTTTGAAAATTATCTTACACTGAAAAATAAATAAAACCAAACATTGAAAGACGTTTCAGTATAAATTGGAAAATAATCTTCAGATAACAAATGCTAGAGAGGCAATATTGGCTCAACATTAGCAGCTTTCCAATCTAAGCAAAGACAGACACCGACAGCCATGGCTATATAGACTCGCCTATCGATGCTGATCAAGAATATACTTTATGGGGTCGGAAACGTTTCCTTCACAAATACTACTATTTACTATACCCTATTTACTCTTCGAGTACCGAGTGTAAATAGGACAGATGTACTGACTGAGAATCGTCAGTCAGCCTGACTTCTCAGGCAACAAATAATTAGAATTTAATGTATAGAAATTATAGAATTTAAATAACATTTAATACTACTTATGAATGTTGCTAAAACTAACACCGCACACGCGCCGGAACTGGTTTCATTTGGTAATCCTCTCCAATCTTGAGCACGGCCATCATGCCCTGCACTGTATGTGCCTCTACATGGCAGTGATACAGCCAGAAGCCGGGATTGTCGGAAATAAAGCGAACAATGATGAAGCCCAAGCCTGGTATTTGCACCGAGTCCTTGAGCACCGCATGGTAGTGATCGGGCAGGCGCGGCAAACGTCCCTGTCGATCTAGATTTTGTATCTGTGGAGGGAAAATTATGTGGGAATCAATCAACAATGTTGGAACCTTTGTATGGTTGCTTACATTGCGAAGATCATCAATATTGCCCACTACACCCTGACCAACGAGGCGAAAGGAGTTGCCGTGGATGTGGCAGGGATGCGTGTTGGTCATATAGTTGGCCACCACCATCTCGATGGGGCGGTAGGCAGGCATTCTGATTACGTTCAGGCACTCGCACACATCCTTCTGACAGTTGCGACCCTGCGCGACGAGAGAACTCCGGTTGCAGAAGTAACCATCATCCTGGAAGAGATGGCGGCCTTGCAGCAGGGATATACCCGGGGGTATGTACGAGATCTCATCGATCTGGAAGAGCAACTCCCCATTGGGTGTGCGGTGCAGACTGAAACTGGAGTAGTAGGTGCGGAACCTGGTGTTACGTGGCCAGGGCAAAGGCTGCAGCGAGCGCAGCGCCACAGTGCCCACGTTGATGTCCTCGGCAGTTGCCAGACGCAGAAAGGTCTCAGGGCCGGCGGAAATCGTGGGCATTATTCGATAGTCGTTGACCAGCACAGGGACAGCAGAGAGAGCTCTACTCTGCTCGGAGCTATTCGTCGGCTTCAGCAGATTGTATGCATCCAGTGTTCTGCTCTGTGTACTGCCCAAAATGTTGCCCTGTGGCAGCTCAGTGCGCGTGGCGCCACGATAGCTGAGCACAGCGCCCTGATACAGTTTACGACCATCGCACTGCTCGTATCCGCGAACACTGATCCAATAGCTTTTGGCAAACTGATTGGCATTCAGCACAAAGTCAAATCTCTCCGCGGAGGTCAAGAAAAACCCATCAGCTAGGACGGGCTCGATGTCGTTGCCATCTGTGCTGATGATCAGCAGCTTGTGCTGCTCAATGGAGAATTCCACTGGGCAGTTGGCGATACCATTGAGCAGAACCCTCATGCGATAGCGATAGCCAGGAGTGACTCTAAGACGCTCATAGCGATGTCGATTGTCGTTATCTGGCAGCTGATTCAGATGATTTCTACCCTTGCCATTGATAAGTATATTTCGCACTGTTTGCAGTTCGTGATCGTAGAAAATATCCTGCACCATCAGGGCATGCTCCACCAGATCGTAGTCGTAGAGATGCGCATGCTGGTTGGCCTGACGCGTCTTCCGTATGATCAGGTGTCCCGCCACACCGAAACCCCTCTGCCAGCCCATGTGGCTGTGGTACCACAGCGATCCACCGCGATCGGCCTTGAACTCGTAGCGTTGCACCTCGCCCGGCTGCACCGGATACTGAGTGACAAATGCGGCGCCGTCCATCTGCGGTGTGTCCACCATATTCAGCCCATGCCAGTGCATGGTAGTGGGCTCGCCCAGATAGTTGAGCACATCCACCACCACCGTGTCGTTCTCGCACAGTTCGATGGCTGGACCAGGTATCTTACGATTGACAGCCATCACAGGCGAGGCCACTCCATCGCCATAGATGCAGTGCTCAGCGGCACAGGCTCGCTCATCGAACTGACAGCGTTGACACTCGGGCCCGAGTCTCTGGTAGTTGTGCACCACCAGTTGGTAGTAGCAGCTTTGCGTCTGCCCCTGCTGGCACACACGTCGGCACGGATGGCGCTCAAAATCACTGAAGCTGGCAATGTCCATCTGGCTGTAGTCATTCTTCAAATTCAGACCAGCGGGTGTGCCTTTGGTGGTCTTGTTGCGGGACCAGGGCCAATCGAACTTGGCCTCTTCTGTACCAAAAAGGATCTCCTCAGCTGTGCTGAAAAGAACTTCCCGACGATCTGCTGTGCCTTGGGTATGCGCCTGTGTCAAGGCCTGGGCCAAGCCCAGAACCAATACATTAATCCAAATGCTGAGAAAACTTTTACTTTCGCGTACGCACATCGTGAGCTTTGGCAAGCAACTGTCCCCAGCATTGAGTGCAACGCGCGAAGAAATTTTTGATAGGGGCGCCCCAAGACCTTTGGGCATGCGCTGCACGTAGCTGCCATTAAAGCTGAGCAGAATTTGATAAGTCGCAATCCCCCGACACCCATTGGAATGAAATGAAAGACCCACCAACATGTCTTGGTTTACAGACGGTGGTAAAAGCTCTTCTAGATTTGAAGATAATTTAAAGAGGGCGCTGGCACTAGCACATTACACCATGGAATGTATTTTTATACCCTGTACTCGAAGAGTAAATAGGGTATATTGTATTTGCGAATAACGGTTGTATGTAAAGCACAGAAGGAAACGCTTCCGACCCCATAAAGTATATATATTCTTGATCAGCATCAATAGCCGAGTCGATAGAGCCATGTCTGTCTGTCCGTCCGTCTTGTTGATCGCCTGGATCTCAGAGACTATAAAAGCTAGAGCCACTGTTACAAGTGTATTTAAAAAATTAGCCCCGCCCCCTTCCGCCCACGCAAAAGGGCGAAAACCTCCCAAAACAGTTTTGAAGATAAAAGAAATCTAAAAACCATATCTATCAGATAACCAAATTGGGATCTTATATTTGTTTTTTTTTCACATTTAGAGAGCTAAAGGAGCTTTTTGGCGTGAGAAGTGTTGTAGATGTAGATGGCAGAGGAAGAGAAATTTAAAATTTGACAAAAAACCGCTAAGGTACAGATGTAGTACTGAGTACCGGGGATAAAAGTTGTGACGCGTAAGAAGCGTCTCACACGTAAAATATATTTACATATGTTTGTTGTTTTAAATTACTGACAACAATGCATTATCTCTCACTGGAAGACAAATATTGTAGGCAGAAACGTCTACACCAAGCGAAAAATGCATTAAAAAAAAAACGACTTGTGAGACGCTTTTTATGCGTCACAACCTTTATACCCGGTACTCAGTAGTACATCTGTACCTTAGAGGGTTTTTTCGTAAGTCATTACTCATTACACTCGTACATTACAACATGGAATGTATTATTTTCTCAGGATCATCGACCCGGGTCTGTTCTGTTTGTACATATGCAGCCGGTAGGCTAGTTTAACACGCTCTTTTAACTCGCCCACCTCCCCTATGGCCACTGCAAATTAATTTATTTATTCTGTCTATAATAATGATCCAATCTGATCACAATTCGGTGATCTGTTAGAATGGACCTTCCCTACGGAATGACGATAGTTTTATTCTATCTTCAAAATGGTGGCTCATTGCGCCGTTTGCGTGGGCGGAAGGGAGCGGGTCTAAGTCTGTAAATACCCTTGTATCAGTGTAAGCATACATCAGTCAGGAGGAAAATTGGGTGGCTCTAGCACCTATAGTCTCTGAGAACTAGACGTCAAGAAAGACGGATGGACGTACAGACATACTGATCAAGAATATATATACTTTATGGGGTCGGAAACGTTTCCTTCTTTGCGTTACATATGTACATCCACTTTATGCACAAATACAATATACCCTTTTTATTCTTAGAGTACCTGCTATAAAAAATATAAAAGCTCTCCTTCTATAAAGATAATACAGAGACTATGTATTAAAATACGTTAAAATAAAAGTTGAAAATGCATTAAGTCTCCCTTTTCTCCACTGCCGCAGCCGTTGAAACGGAAGCAGTAGCCACGGCAGTGCTCATGAGGCTAATCACGCCACAAGCTATGGGTGGACCCACAGAGTTCTCCTCATTTTGAAAGGCCAAGGCATTCGGCATGGCCTGTAGCGATGAGGAGAAGACCTCCGCATTTAGTGCAGTATTCAGATCGATGGCCTTGCTGTGTATAACAATGGACCTGCCCACAATCCCATTGAAACCAAACAACTGGATGTAGATGCTCTGGAAGTTCGCAGATATGCTGCCATCATCTTTAGCGTCCACGTTGCCGAGCTAGATAAATCATAGAATTATAGAATTGTACTCGTAGATTTGATTCCTGCTTAAAAACTTACAAAATTATTGGGAAACTGTCCGCCCGTGGACTTGCAACCATCGCTGATGTCGCCAAAGGTGTGTATATGCAGTGCATGCTTGCCTGAAGGTAACCCTGTCACATTCATTGTCACCTTGATGTCCGAGTTGTACGGCAACTGCTGGAAGGTGATCATACCAGACACGCCAGCTCCCTCGCTGTCGCCCATGAGCTTCGCACCCGCCTGCCATTGTGGCACCAACTAAAAAGTAAATCAATTATGGGTTAATAGTGTTCTGCATTCCTTTGCCATAAGCCTACATAGGTATAACCCAAATAAGCTGGCTGTGGAGATAGCAGAGGTCCCAAAAGACCAGCAGCTCCTGGTATGCCAGCAGGTCCGCCCAGCGGCACCGTCAGACGTTCGTATCGCTTCACTTTGGTGCCGGACACGACTTTGATGCCATCATCGAAGCGCGTTGCATTAACCGGCCGTAGACGGTCCAACAGGTTTTGTGCACTTCCAGGCACAAAAATGCCGCAATAGCCAATTATCAGCATCAGAGGCAGCAGTTTATTGACGTTTGACATTTTGATCTAATTTGAAAAATTTTAAGCTGAATTTCTGGACACTCTCTCAACCGCTCTGGGCTAGGTCTACGTTTGAAATGATCCAAGCTTTGTGACTGACTCCTCCATGATGACATCGACATGGTTTTCATGCTGATTGAACACGTTAATTGTTGTCGCTGTGGAGTGGATCTCTGGTGGACAGTGGCAGTACGACTGTGAGTATCGCTTCTATAGATGATGACTAGATTGGAAGCTAAAGCCAATTGGCAGTGTAGCGTGTGTTTTCTGCTTAGTTACCTTCCCAGGGGCGTAGTTCTTGGCGGGGATTGAGGGCAAGATCAAGTATGTGGGTAAAATGAGCTTCTTGTGTGCATAACAAATTTAATTTCATGGCCAACAGGTTACGTCTTTATCGTACTAGCCCCTTGACAGCTGCACGCGACTCTGTGGTAGCGATGGTTCCCACTTTGATAAGCGCATCCATAAATCCACCAACAAAACGTAAACTAGATCATCGACTGTCTATTGAAAATGGAATTCTAACCCAAAGCTAACAAGTATATGCTACGACAAGAAGCATAAGAACTATATGATACCCTCCACAAGTACTCGTGGGAGCAAATGTTCCGAGTGGCTAGGGCCATCACATCCATGAAAATCTTTAATTAAATAAACGAAATAATAATTAAATAATGATCAGTTTTAGGAAATCTAAATAGGCAGAGCGGGTAGATAGGCAACGATCTCTTATAATATCAGTTCATGGAATTGGTTTATGCAGGGCATAAAGCTTATTGGTAGCCATCGCCTTGATGTTGACCTCCAACACGACTACGGCCGCCTCCGCGACCACCTCTTCTGGGACGACCAACTCCCCGTACGCCTTGAGGATTCCAGCCAGAGCCCTGCACACGTCCACTTCCATTGGTCCATTGCTGATCTCGATCTCTGTCGCTGCTGTTGTCGCGATCTCGATTCTGCTGCTGCCAGTTATTGTCACCACCAACTGCCGAGCCTCCACAACCACCTCCGCGGCCACGTCCACCGCCTCCGAAGTTTCCACCTCCACGGCCACCGCCACTTTTTCCGCCTCTGCCTTGGGGACCGCTTGCTCTTTGCTGCTGCCAAGAGGGCATCTCTGGTGGAGGCGGAGCATGCTCATTGGCGCGTCCACCGCGATCCGGGACGCTGCCAATCATGTGCTTTTGAATCTTCGAGGCAGTATTCTTGCGTACATTTGCCGAGCTCGTCTTCTCGATGACGGCCAAATCAGCGCGGGCGGCCAAGAGAGCCACAATGTTGGTTTGGTTGCCACCGTACTTGAAGTGTTCCAGGTTCTTGAGCTTAAGCTGGAAGAGTTCCATGATCTCGTGCTCGCGATTCCGCATGCTCTCCGACCACTGGAAGCTCTGAATGGTGGCCTCCAGGCGGGTGAGCATCATTTGGCGACGAAGATTATACTCGTTGTCTAGATCAATGTGCAGGGCCTCCAACATTCGCCACTGGACATCGCTGAGCTGCTTCTTAAGGCTGAGAAGTGGCTCGGTGAGCACACCACGATTTGTCTGACCAATGCGCTGCTTTAGTCGGTGTGTAATCTTATCAAACATTGCCTTGGCATTGATGATCTTGGGCAACTCGCCCAGCTGCATGTCCTTCATTAGCTGCAACAACGACGTCTCGACCCCGGACTCAGTCTTAGACTTTTTGCAGGGCGGTCCCATGGGCTGCGTCTTCAGCGAAATCTTGGTGAACATCAGCTCCGTCGTTAGGTAGTCCAGCAGCTGCAGCAGCGAGTCACGGCTCTCGAAGCGCTCCGACACGGGCCCCAAGACCAGCTGGCTGTAGGGGCAGCTCAACTCGGTGAGCAGCAGCGACAACTCAATGGCGAACTCGTCGTGTTCCTTCTTGCTGGATGTCACATGCTCGTCCGTCTTGCGCAGCATATGTAGTTCGTGGGCCAGCCAGAATATTACCGCACGCAAGTCCTCGTCGCCGATGCCGTTGTCTAAAGCCTTGGCCAGCTCCTTCTTCTGTAGGCAATTGCCATCGTAGGACAGAGCCTGGAGGTAGTCCACCACATCCAGTTCAAGCTCCATTCTCAAGGTTAAACTGAGAGTTTAAACAATTAAATTGTAAATTAAATTAGAGAGGAGTACAAATTGTGACAGCATACTTATCGCTGAGATACCAAATATTCTACCAAAAAATTAATAACATATACATACCGATATACCAAAAGTCATGAGTGAACTTAATCCACTTAGGCCCCCTTTCTTAACAAAGGTGAACAACTTGCTGAGCACTCTCTGTCGCAAATAAATTGGCACATCTGAGTTTTGGGCTTTAATAAAAAGTTGCAAACAAAACTGTTCTGCATATCCTACTTATATATCATATCAATGCCCCTGGACCTTACCACCTGAGTTTCTCTAATATTCGATTTTTCGTTCTGTATATGTAAACAGGTCGACAATGGGTTACTCATTCTGTCGATAGTAAAACCGATAAATAACAAATCGAACAGGGGCGCCACAAGTCTGGATTACTTTTGACTTTTACATAACTTCAGTTATTTTATTTTAGTTTACCAATTTAAATATATATTTTTGTTATATGTATGTAAGTTATAATTATGTGTTTTTTTTTGTAAAGCAGGAAGTTTTAGGATTCGCTTGAGTCGCACCTTTGGTGCCACATAAATCTTAATTTTTTTAAAGTATTTTCCATATTTTCTGTTTAGTTTTTCCCTTGTTTTTTTTTGTTTTTTTTTTTACATACAACATCGATGTACTTAAAAATGAACACACATTTAGCTATAATATAATAATTTATACATAGAAATATTCAGTTACTTCATGCCTTCGAAAGGATATACTACTATACTTAAAAGAAACAAGTAAGAAAGCAAAGACAGATAAGAAAACGGAACACGGAGACAGACACGCAACTAAGAAAAGCAGACTACACGATATACAATAAACGAGACATCCTATTTTAATGCAATAGAAACACAAAGATGTCTTCCCCTTCTCAAGACAAATGGCACAATGATACATTTCCGCAATGTATCCAATCCTCCCCCAAACCCAATTCAATCTAGGTCAGCGATTCAAGTGAAGCTATACTGATTGTCGACGGCACGTCCGTTGCCCTCGTTGCCGCTGCCGCTAGCGCCGCTACCGCTGGCATTTCCTCCGCCCTGGCCCGACTGATTCTGTTGCTGCAGCTGCTGATGGTGTCCTGAGGAGCCCTGTAATGAAGCATTGGATGCCCGCAGATGCGGCTGATCGAGGAAGCTGCTGTGCCCAGCTGGCGGCGAACTGTGCACCGTGAGTGTTGTGGGGTCCAATGGAAAGTAGGCTTGCTCCGGAAAATAGACGTGAGTTGGCTGATCCAATGGCAGTTCGATTTCGTTTGTCTTTAGGCGAACACTTAGATTCATGGTAATCACTCCGTTGCACTGCAAAACAAAATGCAAAGAAGAAACTTTGTTAGTGGTCTGGCTCCTTGGATGGGATTTGTTGGGTGGTTGATATTGGGTTTGGTTTGGGGTGGTGGTGGTGAAGCTAGAGACATTTAGCATGCTACAATCAAATCAAAGACATTCCAAATTAACACAAAATATCTAACTAAATTTATGTACTTAAAACTTAGTGATTTCCAATAAGGATTCCCTTAAAGGAAATGTCACAAATTGAATGGTTAATCTCAAAGAGAAGTTTCGGACAACATTTTAAGAAAATTATACAAAAAGAATATATTTTCAGACCTATGCAAATTCCAATCATTGTTTAATTAAAATGTTGACTAAAACTATTATTAATAAAGGACTGATCCTCACAATTGGACGCCATTTCCACTGTTTTAAAAAACCTTTTCGAGTCGCAAACGACTGAGAAGACACCTAAAACAAATAGGTAAATATTGAACAACATGGAAAAAATAGACTGCCTAATCAGACCTCAGACTTGAGATTTACTTTAGGCTTAAATCAAAAATATTGAATGAGAATCTTTAAATGTAAGAGAAATTCCTTTAACTGTTTTAATTCATACAAAAATTAACCAAAATGTTTTCCAGTAAAATTTTGAAAAATAATCCCTAATCCCTAAATAATCTTCTAGTACTTTAGAGGACTTTAGAGGATATTTAAAACATGTTAAAAATTCTCGAACTACTTAGTAATATTCAATAGGCCTACAAAGTATCTCCCTAGTATTTCCATAGCCCCAAGGCGTCATCAGAGGATGTGGGGTGAGAGCTCAAATCGCATCATCCCAACTTTTGCAATGAGAAATGAAAAGAAGTCGAACAGAAATCAAAGTAAAATAAAATAAAACCATCACTGACACTGAATTGACTCCAAAATGTTGGCTATCTCACATGTCTCGGCGACGGATGGCCCCCGCCAGCTGCTGCTCCTTCTCCTGCTCCTCCATGACCATTCCCGTTTCCATTTCCATTGCTTGGCGCACCGCCCGCCGCTGATGAATCTTGATGCTGCTGGCCGTGATGCGTATCGTGCGCTCCTCCTCCACCTCCACCTGCACTTGCACCTCCTGCCGCCATTGAAGCTGTCGAAGCTGAGGGATCATTCAGTCTGCTGGTATTGTGCACCCAGTCGGTGAGGACCACATCAGAAGTGCCGCCCGATTCAAGGGGAATTGGATTATGGCGAAAGTGTTCAAGCATCTCCTGGATCGAGGGGAACCACAAATGCTGCACCCGGCACTGGCCCTTCTCCGAAATAGTAAGCCGCAGGTGCTTGGCCCTTCCCTGGAAATTGAACGTCAGCACGAACTCGCCGCGTCGCGTCTCGCTCTGCCGCACCAAAAAGTAGCCATGTCCGGCAGCCTCCGACTGCAGGACCATGCGTGCCGCCTCCGATCTGGTCAGCGTGCCATGGAACCAGGGAAAGAGGCTCATCTCAGCCGTTAAATCTGCCACATTCACATCCGCATCGTTTTCGGTTAGTTCGACACCATCGAAATTGCTGGAGGCCGACAGACGCTGCTCGCCGCGATGCGGTCGCATAGGTATCTCCGGTGGTCCCGACGGAGGTGTGGTGCCCAGTTCATTGATGGCATTTATGTCGCTGGAGGATATGGCACCATGGCCAATGGCAGCTGAGGCCAATGCACTGTCCGCCGACAGCGAAGAGGAAATAGCGATCCCACCGCCCACTACCAGATTGCCATTGGAGCCCCCCAGACCGCTCTGCTGCTGGTATTGGGGATTCTGTATGCCACCCAATGCACTGCTACCCGAGGGATTTGTCGGCGAGGTCTGCATAGCCGCCGCTATAACGTCCGATTCGATCAAAGGCTGCTGGGTGGGTGGTGTACGCATGCAATACCGAATGGTAGCCAGCCAACTGCGCATCTCCTCGGCGCTCTCCGCCTCGATCACATACTCCATGTTGTTGTCCGCCTTCAGAACGAACGTATTGAGGCGGTCAGGCATCTCCAAAGCTGTGGTCTCGCGTGCCTCTGATATTAGGAAACAGAAGACACCGCTGCGTGGCTTGGCGGACTTTGGCGGCGAGTAAAACTCCAACATATAGCCGCCAACAGCCTTAACCAAGGCCAGGCGGCACTTCTCCCACTTTTGTGAGCCGGTCGGCTGGTCAAGACTTTCGGGCGTCAGGTTATTTACGTAGCCCTCCTTGCGGCACTCAACCACGATCT